GGTCAATGGGTTATTATGATAATGAACTCAATTACGGCACAAAAGCCTCTGCCGGAGCCGGACGACCGCCAGCCGCTGTTGTAATTTGCTTGGCCTTGGGTCGACGTCGTCGTCGTCGTCGTCGTCGCCGCCGCTTGGCAGATTTCTCAGCAAGAGAAACTCCGTTTCGGTTTCTATTTCGGTTTCTATTTAGAGTATATTCTGCTTTACACAATGCCAACAAAGAAGAAGCAGGCAAAAGCCACAGCTGGCCAGGGCTGGAGGTCAGCCGGCTTTGTTTGGGCTAAGCGAATCAAGTTTTCAAAGCCCAGCCGGGCCTTAATTCGGCAAAGCCCAATTACAGCCACAAACAAAAAAAAAAAAAAATAACATTTAATGATAAAATAAGAATTGCTCAGTTGCTAATTGAGCTGGGATGCTCCTTTCTCGTATGAGTAACCAAGGCAGCCAGTTGATTTATAAGCAAAAACACATTTTCACTTATGAAACAAATTCGTTTCTAAATTGTACTTCAAAGTCGCGCCGACGGGTTCAAGTACAAGCCCAATGACTGAAGGCGAAACTAACTGCAAAAGTTAAAATTCCTTAAAGCAATTGCGCACGATAAGCGATAAATGAAATTATGCTGCTTCAATGGCCAATTGTTAATAGTTAATACAATTTGGCGCAAAGTTTGCGTATGGCTACTGTAAAGTGCTTGGCCCGCACTTGTTTATTGATTTCGCTTGCCAGAAATCAATCAACAAATTGTTGCTGGGTATTAGGCATGAGCATTGTCATATATGACCTTCATTAAAAATCAAAGTTTTTTTTTTTTGCGAACTTGAGCCAGTCGGACGTAATTGCTGTCAAGCGGAATCGGATACTGCCATTCCATGCCAAAAATGCAAATGGAGACCGAGGAATTACCTCGAAAAGTCCAACGACTCTCGCGACAAGTGTTAAATGTGGCGACAATTAGGCTTAACGAGTGGCCCAGAGATAAGCTTCTGCATTTACTGGCACGTTTATGCTTTTATTGAAATGGTAACAACAATTGTGACTGCCTCGTGGCGCTGGCATAACAAATGCGTTAATTTGAGGTAAACGCAGATCAGGGGCAGCTTTATTTCGATTAGCCAACAAAGTGTAGCCAGTTTTGTATAGTTGTCGTTATATTCAAAACCAGCTAAGCAACAAATATCGATAAGTGCTGGGCACCGATAGACGATAGATAGTTGCTATACGGAGCCGGAATGCGCATCGATAGGCAAACAGTTCATTTGTATCGACTACGCAGCCCTGACCGTTGTTGGACAGTGTGACCAGGCAACCGCACATTTATTATTACTTGAGCAGCAACGTGCTACTCCGATTTTAAGCGTTTTCAAAATAGGACAAAATGAGCGGCAATACAAAAAAGGAGTTAATCCTTTGCGACTATTGCCAAGTCGCAAAAGATAGCAATCAGATTTACACAAACAGAAAGCAATTTGCCGGCTGCCGAATCGTTGACCTTCTACAAAGTGTCACCCAACGCACCGTAAGTACAGTCTTACAACTGGAATTCATTCATATTCCATGTGACCCACAACAACAATTCCAACGATTTAGATACCGCTCCCAACAACTGTTAAATTGTGCAGCCTGTGCGCCTCAACTTTGCATGCCACAACCGGCACCATCGCCAGAGCCATCGAGTTGGTGTCCAAGCTGACGCAGACTGGCAAGAAGCAGAACATTGAAACAGTCCTTGTTGAAGCCGAGTCAGATGACACAGACGACGGAAAGCGAACAAAGCCTGCCACAAACATTGATTCACCGGCAGCCAAAGAGCGCATGTCAAAGGGCGCCGCAACTACCAACGGCACGCCCATTGTTGACCTGGAGAGCCCCAAAGTGACGCCTGCTAAGGAAAAAGGCACGCCAAACAAGACTCCAGCCACAAAGAAAGGACTCAAAGAACCAAACAGCTCGGCAGTGGGCGTCCAGCAGAGTCCTAGAAAACAGGCTCTCAAAGCAAGTCTGCCACAAACTAGCACACCTGCGGCATCAGCACAACCGTCCACTCCAAAGAAGGTAGAAGACTTGCTGCAGAATGCAATCAAGTTGACGCCCGCCAAGGATGTGCCCAAAAAGAATAAAGATTTTATACAGCTTTTTGGTGGCAACGCTGACAATGCCAGCGACACCGAGGAGGAGGACGAGGAAGATGACGAGGTGACGACAGTCGGGAAGGCAGAAATTAAGAATATAGCAACCGGCTTCGAGTGCAAGCTATGCGACTTTGCATCCGTCTACCCAAATCCCATGAAGAAGCATTTGAAAGAATTGCACGGACAGAAGCGTCCGCGCATCTACAACTGCATGAAGTGTACCAAAGTCTTTGGCGTGCTGAACTCCCTAAAGTCGCATCTGCTGACACACGGCATTACCGAGGAGAAGGATGAAAGTGCAGCACCAGACCCACAGCTTGCAGTGCTCACGGCACTGAAGCCAAAGCCAAAACCTTCCAATACCGAATATACCTTTGCCATCAATAACACCAACTCGTCTACACCAAAGCCCGCCGGGGAGCAAGTGCAAGCTACCACATACCAGTGCGAGATATGTCATCTGGATTTCAGCGCGGTCAAAGCTCTACAGGAGCACATTAAGACCGTGCATAACATTGAGCGTCCCAAAGCTTTCAAATGTGATGCCTGCGATTCTCATTTCATGCACAAAGTCACAATGGATCGCCACTACAAGAAGAAGCACTGCGGCGAGGATGCCGCTGCGATGCCGGCTAAAATAAAAGGTAGACGCAAAACCATTTCGATTGTGGTTAACCGGCCGCCCAGCAAGGAAGAGGCCACCCCGCTGGCCAGTTCGCCAGCAAAGATTACAGGCAGACGCAAGACGATGGCAGTCGAGCTGAATGAAACAGAGGAGCCGCCGGCCAAGTTGAAAAGGCAATCACCACTAAAAGAGCCAAAGAAATTAAGCGAGATAGACACTGAGACAGCCCATAAGGAACCCATTGAAGAGCCAGCCTCACCGAGCAAGAGCAAATCAAAAGTGGACAAGTTGTCTGAGAGCGCAACTGTTGACAATGTCACGAGCGAGTCAAAAGTGGACAAGTTGTCCGAGAGCTCAACTGTTGACAAAGTCGCAGGCACGCCCAAAAAACCCAAGAAGCCATCACAAGTGCTCAAGGATTTCTTTGCGCCGAAGCTGGCCTCGCCAGCCAAGAGCAAATCAAAGGCCAACGACGAACAGGTCGCGCCCACACTCAGCCAAGAGAACGAGATCATAGAGGAGCTGAATAATATGGATCTAAATGATATTGATCTGCTGGACTCATTTGACGTCGACATATCCAGCAATAAAATGAAGTCCAAGAAAGATGTAGATACGACAAAGTCGTCATCACAAATCACAGAAATCGACTCGCCAAGCAAAAAGGTCAAATCATCGAATGAAGTAAATCCGCTGGAGCCTGTACAGAAGAAAATTAAGTCCAAAAAAGATAAAGATACAGTCGATTCATCACAAATTGTAGACAGCAACGAAGAGAAACTTACAAATGAAATAGATCCGCTGAACTCATCGCAGCTCATATCCATCAATGGCACGCCAAAGAAGTCGGGCAAACGCAAGGCAGCCAAACAACAGGCAGAGGAGTCATCACAAGCGGACACCGCCGATGAGGAAGTGGCCAGCCCAGTGCAGCTGAAGCCGCTGAAGAAATCGAAGAGCGACAAGCAGAAGATGACAGACAGTGATATCGAGCTGATCGACGAGATCAATCCCAATGTCAAGCCACACAAGCGCACAAAGCTCGACTCGATGGTGCTCTCCGAGTCGGAGCTGAGCTGCAGCATGTGCAGCAAGGTGGTTGGCTCACGCAAGCGTCTCGATTCGCATATGCTCAAGAAGCATACCACAAAACTGACATGCCCCAATTGCAAGGTGGCCTATAACGACAGCTTGGAGTACGTTAAGCACTTCTCGGTCTGCAACGGCGTCGACGGTCTACCGTGCGGCTACAAAAACTGCAAAAAGGTCTTCGCAGCGGCCAATTTCCTGTGCTCCCACTTGAACAAGAAACACAAACTCGCGAAGTAATGTAAGTTACATGAAATATGCCAAGAGAATACTTCAAGAGAATGTCGCGCAATTGTTGATCAATTAAAGCGATGTCTATGGGCAATATTTTGTGAAGAGAATAGCATGGAAACTAAGCAGAAAATATTTTGTTACAAAAACTGTAACGCATTGAAGGATGCTAGTTCGAACCCATAGAAACTTAAAATAGTTATGTCTACGTATATCTATCTAATATATACAGACTAGTCTGTTTGTTATGCTAAATAAGATCTTTCAGTTCGTACTTAGTCATATCAACTATCGGTCCATTATTCAGCTCTTGGAAAAACTTAAGATATCAGAAATTAGTCAAACTAGCTCTCAATTTGATACTTTTAAAGCTCTCAATAAGAATATTAAATCATACTAGGATTACAAAATGTTAGTTAGCTGAAGTCAACTTCTTTCTTGTTGTACAAATTTCTTAATTGCATTTTCCTTACTTTTTCAGATTCGTACACAGCAATTCAGGCCTTGAAGGATGCCAAAATGACTGAATTTAAATGTTTTAATTTTCTTTTTAACTATTTGTAAACAGTACAAAAACTCAAAAATACAACAAACTAACACGGAAATGGAACGCAATTCCATTAACTAAATAGTTATGTAGTTTTCAATTATAGATTAGTTTTATGATTTTGTATATGCATATATTGTTTGACTTCCATATAAACATAAACAATGTAAATTACAAAGAAAACCAACGACAATTTGAGAGCAGTTCCTAAAGAGAGAGCACGTTTTATATATATATATATATATTTATATACAATATATAAATATATATATCGTACATGCATTAAAATAAGATTTAGGAGTAGCCTTAAGACTAACCCAACAAATTATGTACGCAGAGCCCGCGCGTAACGAAACAAAAATAATGAAAACAATTTTCTAGTTCAACTTTTCTACTTAATGCGTACTCTTGAATGGATTATGGTGATGATAAAGATTGAAAGCCGTGTGTGTGCCCGTGCTGCCTCAGGTGCCCACTTTGCTGTGAATCTCCGCTTGGGCCACCTTCATCACGTCGAGCGCACCCTTCTTGATCAGCTGCTCGGCCAGCGTCTGGCCCAAGCGATTGGCCTTCACGTATATGTCCCTGCTGTGGCAGGCGTGCTGATAGAGACCGCAGAATAGATTGTCCACATCCTCGATGAGCACAGGCAGCTTGAGCTGCTGCGGCTGCGGTTGTTCCTCATCGGCATAATCGAACATTTGCACTGTCTTCTGCAGGAAGGGACATTTCGCGTGACCCGTGATCTCTTGGCTGACCTCGAGGCCGCTGCCTTGGTGCATGGCTGCAAACGGGCACTTGGAAGAGGCTGCTGTCGTGGTCGCATTGTCCGGCTCATCGCCATTGCTGCGCATTGGCGTGGGAAGCGGGGCCATGTGAGTGACCGGACACTTGCCCGCAATGGCGTACGAAATCTTCGTCTCATTGTCGACAAACGGACACTCGCCCATAACGTCCTGGCCGACCTTCAACGGCAACGGGCAGTGAGCAATTGTGTTGGCATTGCTGGTGTCTGCATCGCCGCCACCGCCGCCAGCGTCACCGCCAGCGCCTAGTGCATTGTTATTGTCGTGGCCAACGACGGGACACTTGCGCGCCAAATCGATGTGGCGCTCGATCAGGTCCTCCATGATGTAGCCTGTGACCGAGACGTCCTCGCAAATGACCGGCGGACTACCCTGTTGGCGCGGACTATTAGAGCTGGAATCGGAGCCCGAGCCAGACCCGGAGCCAGTGCCATTCGCAGGCAGGCTGTTGCCATTCCTAGCCCGCTTCGTGGCAGGCGGCGAGTCACAGCTGTTGCTGTTGTTGCCATTGGTCATTTCCTGCTCCTGCTGCTGCTGCTGTTGTTGCTCATTTGCGGCACGCTTGCGCCGCAGCACCTCCGTCTCAGATTCATTCAAGGCACAGTCCAGATGCTCGCGTATTTCAATCGCACCATCCAGACTCCAGACAGCGCCAGTTAGCGACAAGCCCACTTCTTCCAGCTGCTGCTGCTGCTGCCTGTTGTTGGCATTGATGCTGCTTGGCTCGCCTTTCAGATTGCTCCAGACAGCAACCGGGGCAGAGCAGCCGCCGCCCAGCGTCTTAAGGAAACTGCGCTCGGCCAATATGCGGCACGTGGTGTTCAGGCACATGAGCTTCTGCAGCATGGTCAGCACATGAGCATCGTTGGCGCGACACTCGACGGCCAGAGCGCCCTGACCGACGGCATAGAGCAGATCCGTGGGCTCCAGCACCTGGCTAATGCGGCTCATCCAGCCCATGCGCACGAGGCCCGCTTGCGCCAGTATGATGCCCGCAAACTTGGACTCCTTGGCATCCAGCTTGGCCAGACGTGTATTCAAATTGCCACGAATGTCGCACACAATCAGATGCGGGTACTGGCGACGAATCTGCGCTGTGCGCCGCAGCGAGGAGGTGCCTGTTGGAAAGATGAGACAATTAGTTGACAATTTGGAGCTGCACACAAGTTGACGCACTTACCAATGACACTGCCCTTGGGCAGCGTGGCAATCGTGTGCCCCTTCAGATTCTCGCGCAGCACCAGCGCATCGCGGGCATCCTCACGCTCCAGCACCGCGCCCACAGCCATTCCCGTTGGCAGCGCTGTGGGCAGATCCTTGAGCGAGTGCACAACAAAGTCAACGCCGCCATTGCGCAGCGCATCCTCCAGATCGCGAGTGAAGAGACTCTTCTCGCCAATCTTCGGCAGTGAAACGTTCAGCACACGGTCCCCAAAGGTGGACATGGTATCTGCAAAGTCAACAAGATATCCAAATGAGTTACATGTTTGTAAGTATGTATGAAGATCTATTCTGCCGTCGCCCATTCCAATTGATATCGTTTCTAATATTATCAGAGATAAAAGCACAACTCCGCAATCAAGCGAAACACGCAGGCGAATTGGATTCCCGATGATGAGGTTCCCCAACACGATAGCGAACTTTTTGCCTTTTTTTTAATATATTTTTTATCAGCACGCAATGGAGCAACTGCCTAACAGTTGGCGCTATTTGAATATACATTATATATATATATATATTTTGGATAGATGTGCATGCATGGGACTTTGTGTATCTAAACGGGATGTTGCGTGTGGCGCGAGGCACTAAACTGCTTCCATTGATTAACAATTAAATTTAATAGCTTGTGCGGGAGATAAAACACCCAAGCTGACCAGCATTAGCCGAGGGAATTAGGCTGGTGGAAATTCTTTAGCTTTAGGTAAATGGGCAAAGGCACGTTTTTAGTATGAAGAAAATTTAAGAAAAATTCTGTTTTCGGAAGTATTCTCAAAATGTAAGCAAATAGTTATGTAATCAAAAAAATACTAAACAATAAATGTGGCTTTCTTCTGAATATATCACTTATTGAAAGGGTTTGTGGGTTTGTTATCACAGTTAAGATCGGGGCTTCTTCAGCAAGTAGAAAATCAACAGGGAGTTCTAGGCCCCAATACCTCACTCTCTTTTGTAAGAGTCCCCCCTTCAGATCTATTAGAAGAGCTCTCCAATTTCCTAATGTTATTTACTTTTTTTTTTGATTTGGTAAAATGATATTTTAGATAAATAAATATGTCGTACATCATATATTCTTTAGTTTCTTTCTAGACAATCCATAATAATGCACGATACGTGATATATTTAAACAATTCATTATTATTCTACTCTCTTTATAGCTGCATTTAAATCTTAAAAGAGATTTGTTGTGAGCGAATCTTAAATGTGTGATAAAAGCCAATTTGCGGAAGAAAACGTGATAAACGTGAAAACTCCAATATTATCATGTTGTAAATTAACGGTCTTTCATCAGTTAAATTTTATAATAAAGTTTTTGCATAATTTCTTTGATTAAAAAAGCAACGAGAATTGCGTGAACCTTAACCAAGAACTAGTCATAAATATTCAAACAGAAACAAACTTTATCAATTGTTATCAACGGCAGATAACATAAAATGAATTTCAATAGATGAACCTATTATGTCAGCAGCACGTTGGTCAAGTTTCTATAATAAAAAGATAAGTGCCTGAAAAGTGTGCTTTTAATCTAAAAGAACAATCGTTAAAGTTATTTACCAAAAGCGAAATAAAAGCCACAAAAGTAAAAGACATTGACATTGGGCAAATTTTGGCAAGAGGCACGCAAAAGTGCAGCAGTAAAATAAAAATAAATACAAATTAACAAATTTAGACGCGCCTCTGCATACAAATAAATAAAACATTTAATCTTATTAAATTTTACGCAAGTAACGCTTCCAGAATTGATAAGACAGTTTTGGCTAGGCTCAAACATGGGCCTGATAATGCGCTGCTCAATAGTGCTGAGTCACGGTGAAGACTAGGAAAATGTTAACTACAATCATTATACGGAAAATGAGAAAACTTTCACTTACGTATCTCGAACTTCTGCTTGGGATAAAGTTTCTGCAGTCGCCCGATGACATGCTTGGTCTGAATGAGCGCCAGCTGCAAGGAAAGAGAGGGAAGAGAGCGGCAAGAGTAATGAGTAAATGCTTTCAAGTGCATATGCAAATGCTAAATGTAAATGAACTGTAAATGGCGAAAAGGAGTGAGAGAGTAATTGAGGGAGAGTGTGAGAGTGATTAATGGTAGCTTCCAATTGGATTTGCAGTCACAGCTGCTGCTGCTCCTGCTGTTGTTGTTGTTGTTGTTGGCATTTGACATATTATATTTTAATTAGCAAAGCAATTTGAAATATGCGAGTATTAAAGCACTTGCGGCCTTGATAAAGCCGGACCAAGCCAAGACAAGCTGACTTGAGCCAATCCGCGCCAAGCACGACTCAAGTTGCCACAAAATATGGTGAAAAAGTAATAAAAATATTAAAGCTGACGAATCAAGCGGCGGGCGGGGGGTAAAATGTGGCGCACACTGACAGACAAATATTGTGATTGCGAGACTAACAGCAGCAGTGCGTGAGAGCCGCACGAATCTGAGCTGCGTATTGTATAACACTAACCAAAATAATAAAGAAAAAAAAAACACGGTCAGCAACAACAACAAGCAGCAGCAGCAGCAGCAGCAGCGGTATTTTTTAGGCGAGCAACAAGTCTTGGTCTTGCATAAATGTGTGAGGCGAGACGAAACGGAAGAGTGACAGAGAGGGAAACGTAGAGGGAGGTAGCAAGCACTAGGCGGATGGACGTAAATACCTGATTGAAATTCAAATGAAAGTTGAGTAAATCGAATGCACATATTCAAGCACTTACATACATATACATATATGCACATAGCTTACCTCGCTTTTGCGTGAACCAACACGAATGACCTTTTCCTTTTCCTGCGTAGACATCTTAAGTCTCTTTAATTATTGCACAATTATTCCTAGTGGGCGTAAGGTACTTAAGTGAAAGTGTGTTTGGCGAGGACAAGCAGCAGCAGCTTTTTTTGGGGTCACGACTTTTGCACAGAAGCAGCGATGAACGATGAATGAAAACTTCAATTCACTGAGTATTAAACACACATTCTCGTATTATTGTCACGTAGACTTTGTACTAGACGGTTAGAAATCCAACCAAAAAAGAACTTATTTAGATTTAATGCTGGGCGATACTACGTCCGAGCAAAGCGCAATGCAGCAAGTGATTGGCAAACTGACTGGCCATGCGACAGGGGCCTTGATGGTATCGACTATTCGATATATGTTGGGTAACATTCGCACTAGAGATGAAACTGCATGTCGACCAAAAAATATCGTACTCATCCATATCGATTACTGCAGCAATGCGTGTCACTATTCGATACATCCCCAACAGCTGATGGCAAACAATTGAAAATATAGCGCTGTTGTTGACATGTTTTTGGTAAGCGATTAACAATAGTATACAAAAAAGTGTTCAATAAATTTTCAAATTATCCGTTTCAGTTCATAAGCCGTCCCATGGGGACGCTGGGCAATCGCATGCGAGCGGTGCGTGACCGCTTGGGCGATGATTTTCTGGACAAGCTCGATGAATTACATCTGAATGCACTGCGCACTGGCTTGGTGTCCACGGTGGATCTGCAGGAAGCTTATCGAAAGGCGCGCGACATGAATGCCAATCAAAACCGGTTGAATTTCCTGTGGCTGTTGGGCATCATATTCTTCATAATGGTGGCGACGCCCGTTTTCTACGAGACCATCTCGTTTCTGCTGGGCGTGCGCTGCTTCCTGCCCAACAACCATCTGGTCTGGGAGGCAACGCGCCCAATCAGCGACTGTGAGTTCTGCAAGGGCGTTGTGGCGCCTCTAATTTTACCAAATTTGACGCGCGAAGACTTTGCCCGATATGCCTACTCCTCGCGGCCAATCATTGTGAAAAAGGCTGTTGCGCATTGGCCAGCAGAGCGAAGTCTTAACTATACATACATCAAGGAACTTTATGAGAGCGTGCCCGGTGCTTTGGACACAGTATGCCAGTTTCAGCACTTTAATTCGGACCTCAAATCCTTGCGTGACGTTTTCAAGATGTCTCCGAAACGCGCCAATCTGAGCGAGGGTGCGCCATGGTTTGTGGGCTGGAGCGTTTGTCATCCGACGGTGCTGACGGAGCTGCGCAAGTTGTATCCACGGCCACACTTTCTGCCAGTCGATGCTGAAATGCCGAACACTGATTATATTCTGATGGGCTACGAGCAGGGTGCCGTCATGCACGTAATAAGTACCGAGCTCATGCAATGAACAAGCTCTGTAAGTTTCTATCTTTACTCACAGCTGGACTATATTCCGCGTCTAATGTGGCAGGCGCAGCTGCAGGGAAACAAAAGCTGGTTTCTGTCGCCCGCGCCGGAATGTGATCATCAATGCCAGTCGTTCTTCTTTTATGTTGAGCCAGGCGATGCAGTTCTGGTGGACACACGCACCTGGTATCATGCCAATACCATACCCAGAGGTCAATTCTCGCTCACCGTGCAATCTGAATACGGATAAGTGAAAAAACTTCATATAAAAGTCTGATATTAGATTTAAGCGGTCTGTCAATAAATGTAAACTCTTTCTCTTATTTATTGAAAAAGAATCTCGCTGTCAGTATGGAAGCATGGAACATTTTCAAAATTCGCGGCCAAAACAGAGTCAAGTGGTTCGATATACAATGTTACTCGATTAATCGAGTGCAATCGATTAGTAACTCTACCAATGCTTTGACGCGCGCGTATATCGCTTACATTTTGGAAGAGCATTAACAACAACCAAAAATGGATGCAAATTTTGATTATAGTGCGTTTACTGTGAAATGCAATGAATACTTCGATCAGCATCCAATCAACTTAAGAGAGTTATGCGTCACTAAATCTGTTATAAGGGCAAACGATTTCTTCAAAAGTCTCGAGGAGAATATCGAAGCCGAGACGACGCCGACTTCGCCTGGCAAGGTGCTTGGCACAGTCGAAGAATATGCCGAACTGTTTAAAGTATTCGAAACTTACCCAAGCAATCTGCAGCGTCAGCCGAAAAAACGCGAACTGCATCGCGCAGGCTCCGTAATCATCAAGGGAACAGATGCGATGCAGGATCAAAGTGCTATCAACACCTCAAGCGCCTGTTTGGCGCTCAGCATGAGCCGCATGGAGCAGGAGTCGAGCGCTGCGCAAGTGTACAAGGACTATAAGAATTTTCAGCAAAAGCTGCGACAGGTCTTTAATGAGGCTTCTGCTCTGGAAGGCGAACAATCAGTCTACCTGGACAAGATCGCACAGCTGGAAATCTTCGCTCAGCAGCTGGAAAAACTGATGCCCAGCCAGCGTGAGGCGCCTGATGCGTTCACGGCCGAAGAGGCGAGCAAGCTGAATGCCATTGCTGAAAACATGAAGCAATTAAACTATCTACGCTCGCACAGCCTCTCACCTGTGCTCAATCCGATGGACACTACCGTTGCACGCCTGGAGACTCTGGTCGAGGTGCTCAACTACACCCTCACGCAAATAAGCTGCTTCAGTACTACTTAAATGTGTTTATTAAGCTTTGTGTATTAAATGAATTTATGTGCTCTCGCAGAGTGAGTCGTCCTTCTCGACATTGGCGAGCAGCTCGTGCTGCTCCTGCACGTGCAGCTTCAGCTGAGCAATCGTATCGTGAAGTGCCACCAGCTTGCGGGCGCTGCTCCTCAGGTTTTCCACGCGATGGCGAGTAGCCAAGCAGCAATCGAGTGCGGTTTGGGCACCGGCTTTGTTATCTTCACACTTGACACTTTGCTGCATGAGCTGCTGGAACTGCTCCAATATTCTTGTGAGCGACAGTTCACAATCTGGGCTCAAATGATAGAGATTGTCGGGCTGAACGCTGCCTTTGAATGTTGGCATCGTTGAAGCCTGCGCTTCGATATGCAAGAGCGTGTTGTTGGACTTCTCCATGATTTCACCGATTTTGTCCGACTGATTGTGCATGGTCTGCCGTGTTGAAGCTGCAGTTGGATTGAAAGTGGAGAATGAGCTAGGCTAATTGCAATTTTACTTTATATTTACCGAGACCCGCCAATACATCATCAATTATTTCCGACATTTTGAATCTCTTTTAATGTCTGATTGGGGCCAGCTGTCTCAAGTTATCGTTATCGCTCGATAAATGCACACCTTAAAGGCGATCGAATGTTACGTTATCGATTTAAATTGGGCTTAACGTTGGTTTTTATTCAATTTTAATATATTGTTCAAATTAAATTTGATGCCTTTCATTTAAAATTAGTGTATTCTTTTAATGGATTCGCGTTACATTTAATCATATACGTCCTCCTTGTCGGCCACATATTTAATGATGTCGGCAGGTTTCAAAAGCTTCTCTGCGTCCGAGTCTGGAATCTCAAATCCAAACTCATCCTCCATGGCCATGATGACCTCAACGTGGTCCAGTGAGTCCAGTCCAAGATCATTAATGAAGTGCGAGTTCACGTTGAGCTGCAAGGGAAACACAGTTAATAGTAAAAAAAATAGTAATTATGGCAGCTTTGTTCGTTTCTTTTGACGGCACAATATTCATTCATTTAACTGGCAAAGGCAATTGTGGCATTCAAATCAAATAAGCCTAGGCCATGAGCTTGGTCTTTACCTTGCTGGGATCGATCTTATCGTACAGCTTCAACACAAGCAATACGCGCTCGTTGATAAGCTTCAGTGACAATGGCGGTTTCGCCGAGTAACTGCGCACCGATTGCGTTTGCCAGCGACATCTGCTGTCCTGCAATGTGCGCCCCCAAAAAGAAAAGAACAAAAGAAACCAAGTTAGTGGATTCTTGATAACATCAGTTTACCTTGTCGGCAGTCACTTTGTCGTAGGCGGACACGACTTTTAACACACGATGCTCAATTTCTTCAATGGTATTCCTGGCCGAGTAGTTGCGCATTGTGAACTTCTGTAAGAATGTGAGAGTCGATATTGATGAACTTGTCTCAATCTTTGAGCAATGCCGGCGACTATCTCCACAAGTTTAAAACTGCGATTTCACCATACCGATCATGTTTTGGTGGAAAAAATATGATGCAATATATATATGCTGATAGACGCCCTCTCTTTTCGACCAAGTCCAAGTGCCGTCAAGTTTTATAGGCACACGCACCCTAAATAACTCTTCGGGAGACAATATCTCCCCCGTAGAGTTTTTTCACAATGAGGTTAGGGCGCAATAAGTAACTACTTTTATACAGCGACACCTTGTGCAAACCTATAGAAGAAATCACTGTGCGCTTACTTGGGTGAGCTGGGTGCCCATGGCAGGCACGGCAATCCGGTGCAACATCCTAGACTGCGTCTGAACAACGGCACTGGCGATGCGAACTGTGCTCAGGGCAGCCGCAAATCGGCCGCAGCTACGTGCGACTTGTGTGAACGACATCTCTTGGTTAACCTGGAACACAAATAAAATATAATAAACTCGGATTGCAACTATGCACTTTGCACACGTTTTAAACAATATTTACACCGAATTTCTAGCAAAACGGGGGCTCAGATTATGTAAAAGTTCTGGAGGAGCAAAGGCAGCACAGATGTTGAATAAGTATCGATACCAACCGAACCTCTGCTCATCGATGTATATTGTGTAGACGCTTCGCTGTGAATGCCTAAAATGGAAGAGTTGCCTAATAAAATAATATTTTCTTATGCCGTGTTCAGAGCGACATAAACATTATTTATACTTAGTTTGTTAAGATAATGATTTAATATTTTTTGATTTGCTACGAACTCATATCGTAATCGATTAGCCGGCGGGTAGTGTTGAAAAATACACGATAGATTTTGAACAGCCATTTACAAATTTGTTGTATACAAATATTGTTCGATGTTGCCACTTGTTTAATAAAATGCTGCTGTCAAATGCAGGCGAATGAGCTGACTGCATGTTAAAGTGCCTGTCAGCTGATAATATGTGCACGAAATAACGGCCTTTAATGAGTTTGTCATTGATGCAACTTAATCAATCAATATTTGTATTGAAATAGTAACATAGATAAGATTGTATTGCCACGCCTGTGGTTACGTAATCATGCAATAACCACAGCAGCGCAATGAGACGTATTCAATTAAAAGCGCTGATATATATTTATGATGTATATAAACAATTAGTATATAATTAATTGGAACATAAGTACATAGAATCAAAATTACACGCCTCATTGCAGTAACAAAATACAAA